TGGGTACAGGTGCTATAGTAGTACCTGCAAACGCGCTGAAACCGCGCATATCTTGAAATGTGCTTGGTAGTGTGCCGCGCAGAGGAACGCGTGGAAAACCGCGTTGAATTCCAAACCGCTATGTGAACTGAGCCTCCATGTCTGGGTCCTTGTTTTAAGGGTAATAGGGCAGAAAGTAAAACTAAACATTTTCAAACGGTTAACTTTTTAATCATGTCAGGTTTATTACTCCTGAATAGTATCTCTGCTTGGTCCATCAAGTATCTCTGCTTAGCCCATTCAGTCAAAGATTAAGATCCGTTTGGATCTTTTCTAATTAACTATGAAGGAAGTGCAATGGGTTGGATTTAAGAGCTCTAGAGATGATAGCATGCTCCCCTATTAAGATGCAATACCCTCTTTAGCCTTTCCCTCTTCCTAGCTGTAGTTAGTTGTGTAATGTCCCCTTATAACCATAACATAAAGGTCACATTATACATGTCCCAAATCGTAATTGGTGAAGAAACTGAACCAACATTGTTGTAAAAGAAGTCAGAGGATTGCAGGGTCACTCACAATATGAGTCACAGAGAAAAGTGAGTCATTCATTCAGCACAGCTATTAAGTGGATTTAAGAGCCATGAAATCACCATCGCATCATGATCAGACCGGGGTATTTCCGGGATGAAAGATTTTAGGCAAGACAGATCGGTTAACAAAGATGCGGTCAATTCAAGAATATAGCTTATGGGGTGAGGAGTAGTGAGTGTGATCTTGATTAGAGAGATGTAAATGCCTCCGGGAATCCAAAAAATGCATGTTTCCTATGCACATGTCCAAAACAAAAATTTGAACTGTTGATCCCAGGGGTTGAAGTAAACTTATCTAACTCAAGGTTAGAGTTCCCACACATAATTAGTGAGCCCTTCTGATGATGTTGCAGTAACATAAAAAGATGCAAAAAAGGCGATTGCTTGGAGTTTGGAGAATACAACTTTAATAGAGTTAAATCACTGCCCTGAATAGTGCCCTGAAGTAGCAGATATCTACCAGCTGGTTTAGAGAATTGTTTATTAGACTGAAAAGGCACAGATTTATGGAAAGTGATCCAAACACTGCGCTGTTCATTAGAAAAATAGTATTTCACGTATTTGAGCATGTCAAATGTTTGGGGTAGACGAAGATGCAAAATGGGTCTCTTGAATGCTGGCAATGTCAATTTTATGTTTCTTCAAATAGCAGAATGTCTTAGAGCATTTAATTGGGGAAGTCAAGCCCTGTGCATTAACAGTTAATATATTAATTGTATATACATAAGGGGAAGGGGGTTACGCAATTGTTACAGTAGAATGAAACTCTGTGGGTCTCCTTTTTCAAATATCAAACTCTTTTTTTTCCCCATTTAAGGGAGATCCTACCATAGAGAAAGGCAATCTGAAAAACATATCAATTTATATCCAAAGGATTTTTAATCCCAACGCAAAAAAATAAACATATAAATACATGTAAACAAACATCTAAAATCCTTCTAACCTACTCTTGGCTTGATATAGGATACAATGTCCATTAGAAAAATATAAATGTAATGATTCCAGTTGTGAATGATAAACAGTAGCGATGTCTTGTATCAAACTATATATCACAATATTCAATGACTTCCTGCGCTATGTCCAATGTTGGGAATCCTCTAATTGGAGATATATGTGTCTCAATATATAGTGTCACTCCAGTATCCAGGCGTAATGCAGGTTATACTTTCAAATGCATAAATATATATATAGATATATATAGATATTTTTTTTTCATTGAGGCAAAACCGCTCCTGGTAATAGCTCAAAATAGTCCTTATAGCCAACATTAATATCCATCAACTGAAGAAAAATATCTACATAGATAGTGGATGGCAACTTGCTTAGACACCCCTGGAGGATTCATATCTCTGGACAGACGTCCATATGAATAACAGCCCAGGCAGTGGAGCCTCTCTGACAGGGCATTTAATCAACGTACAGCGTACTTATCAAACAGATAGATCAAATATATTTATCTCCTCCAAATACAGAGATGTTCTAAATAGTTAGTTGAGATAGGATTCACCAACAATGGCACAATAGCTAGATCCAAAGTTCAGTTTGCATATCCAATATCCATTATCGAAAGAGTACTAGGATCCATAAGCCAACGTAGGGGAAGCAAACAACGCATTGCTCCCTTACGCGTTTCTCCCCCATAAGGGGCCCTCTGACAAAGCCCCTTATTGGGGAGAAACGCCTGTCAAGTGACAGGACAACCATTGACCGATAACCCATAAAAACAACATTATCCCAAAACAAGTTTTAAACAGGTGCTAGAAAAGATAGAATTCAGATATTGACACTAGCCCCGCCTCAACTGAAAGCAACATAAATCCAGGTCCCCAAAAATCAGAGACATCCCAGGGGCAGGCCAAGGGCTGAACCATTATTTCTTCACAGTAAAAAGTAGGAAACCAGAAAGGTACATAACAGGTTCCAACAATAACACAAGAGTTCCTAAATAAGAATAAAAAAGATAATTGTAAGCAACCAGACTATAGAAGAAGAGAGCAAGTAAAAGAGCAAAGCATTATATCACCATTCCGTCTACCAAAAGGCACAGTTGAGCTTGGCACCTCACCCATTTGATAAAGAAACGATCCAGAAAGCAGATAATAAAAAAAATCTAACTAGTAGAGACAAAACTTGTAAAGCAAACCCAGATTCATCCTACTGTAGCTGGCATGAAACATTGGGTATGAAGATTCACTGTGGTGCCTCAGTGGGTCCGGCTACTTTGGGGTGCACTGGGGTCATGGTGAACGTTGTATCTGTGATCTCAAAGCCTTGGGAGAGTAGATGTGGATCAGAGTTGCGAATCAGAGAGCTCGAAAGGAAGGCCCAGATGTTTAAACTTTTCAGAAGCTTCTTTCACGGAGGAAAGTGAATGTGGGAAGTTTATTATTGTGGGGGGCTGGGGAATGGGGGAGTGTATTATCGTGGATTTGTGTGTATGTGTGGGGGGGATTGTATTTCTGTGTGTGTGTAGTGTAACAAGGACACTCCACTGTAGTCCAGGTAAGTCAAGTATAATGCAGTTTATTAAAGGGCAAACACAAAATAGCTTGCAGCAGCAACATAAGACAGTCCTTTATATGGCTCAGTAGCTTTCCAAGGCTTTAAGACACCCACGCTGCTCACCCCTCACTCTGCTCTCTTAGCAGTGTGTACCACAGGTCCTAGGGTCACCGACCTTCCTGACCTCTGCCCTCGTGGGCCCTCGCTCTGCTCTCCCAGCAGTGCGTCCAACAGGTCCCTGGGGTCACCGACCTTCCTGACCTCTCCCCTCGTGGGCACTCGCTCTGCTCTCCCAGCAGTGCGTACGACAGGTCCCTGGAGTCACCGACCTTCCTGACCTCTCCCCTCGTGGGCACTCGCTCTGCTCTCCCAGCAGTGCGTACGACAGGTCCCTGGAGTCACCGACCTTCCTGACCTCCCCCAGCCACGCCTGGCTGTTCCGTGTGCGTCCAGCACGCACCCGAGTTTGTCTGTGTCCGTGTGCTCCCTGCACACACACAACTCCAACACTCCTCTGAGCACTGGGCTGGCTTCCTGATAAGGCTGCTCTCAGCCACCTGATTAGCCCAGGCTGGTCATTGGCAACACCTGGCCCCAGGACTGGAGATCTCATCCCACCCAGAGCTCTACGAAATCTCCAGAGCACCAAATCCCAGCTACAAATAGGAAAACCTGGAAGGACCTGAAAAGCCAGGCTCTTCCTTAAAACATTGTTTACATTTTGGACCCTCTCAGCCCCTCTGGCTGAGAGTCCTGGGTGCCAAAGTCACTGTACTACACCGTGGCAATGGCTTACACTGCCACAATTCCTACATCAGGAACTTGCTTTTTCCGGAAGCAGGAATCCCTAATCTGGCGTTTACAAGTGAAATCTGTCACCCGTTGCAGTTAATGATCAGGTGACAACTGCTACATGTGAACACCTGGACACCGCATGTAATGGTATGTGATATGATTACATGTGGTTAAAAAACACTCTTCCTGGACAATGCATCCAGGAATAGTGATTGATTCCTAACCTCATGTTATATACCATTACATGCGATGTGCAGACGTTTACATGCATTTGTTTAGAGTCTGGCCAGAGATGTCATTTTTTCGGAGAGTCTTCGTCGGGTTCGGAAGGGTCGTTGTGCAGCAGGACTTTTTTTTTATTTTGGCGGGTCCGCGGGGGTCGTGCATCATGATTGATGCTGGATTACATAGATGGAGCTGTTTTTAATTTTAAATAAAGGAGTTGTTAAAAAATGACTTGTTTTTTTTTGTAAAAGTGTGGTGTGTTTATTCACATTTTGGTTTAACCCTTTAGTGAATGAGTAGGGGTACAAGTACCCCTTGCTCATTTACAAGGGGGGCAGCATCTGGGTGCCCCCTAATTAAAGGGGTACCCTGATGCAAATATGCCCCCCTGCCCACAGACCCTCACAACCACTGGGTCAGGGTTGTGGGGAAGGGGTCCTTGTCCCCATCAGGATATTCTCCCCATGCTGGTATGGCGCAGGGAGGGGGGGCGCTAAATTGTCCCTCCCCTTTCCTGCAGCACCTGTACTCGGATCAAGGGTCTGGTAGGAATTTTTGGGTGACAGGGCTCCCCTTAAAATTCCTAACAGACCTAAATTTTTAAGTATGAAATTTGACAAGCGGCCCCCATATCAGAAATAAATTTGTTTAGCGGCACATGAGTGAATTGAGTTTGAGGCCCCTGCTCTAAACAGATGCATATTTAAGACCGGATCAGGTTTCTTTCGGGGGGCATTGCCAAAGGTTAAATTTATGACTCAAGCTGTAACCTAATAGATCTGTGGCACTATATGTCTCATTGCTCGTGTTTAGCATTACTTTGCTGGATGACAGAATTGATACATGCCCCCTTATGTAGCTTATGTATCTAAAGAGAGAAGACATATTTTTAATACATTTTTTACTTACGAAAAGAATTTTCCAGACGAATCAAACAATTCAGGAAATCATCAAATTCTATCTGGTAATGGTCATCAGCATATCTTAGGACAATCAGTTGCAACACTGCGTTGTTAAGCTGAAACCCTATAAAATATAATAGTTTAATTGTTTTTTTACTTTATTTGTTTAGTAACTTTAAAGTATATGTGTGTTTATTTTTTGTAATAGGTTAGTTAAATTTAACTCTTGTCAAGTTTTTATAGTCTGTATTCTTGCTGTGTAGATTCACTGTTTGTATTTTCTATTTATCATTGCCACCAGTACAGAATGTGATGGAAAATCTAAAATTTTACAAAAATGTATATATTTGAGCTTTGCATCTCTTGTCATTGTCCCTTACAAAATTTCCCACAAGCCTCCTGACAATGTTCCGACTATTTACAATAAAACTTAAACTCTGTTTCACCACAAGGCAGTGATGCAGATTTTCTCATCATAGTAAATCTTCCCATTGGGACACAGACAGCAACAAATAAACTGAGGGAGTGTTTAACCCTTCTCTGTCCAAAAATCCTAAAAATTTTGGCTATGTAGTCAGGCCTGAATTCTTTGAGGTCTCCACTACATTAAATACTCACATCCATCAAGTCTTTCTAGTTCCTGTAGTTTTGGTACAGAGAAGGCACAATAACACCCTTTCGGAACTGCTGATAATTGTTTCAGAAAACTATTTTCTGACCCTAAAAGTGCCTCCTTGTTTGGCTTTAGTATATACAGTATAACTGTAAGAAGAAAATCAATTACGTAAAAAAATAATCAAGCCTTTTTGTAAATTGTATAAGTGGCCATTCTCACCTGTCAGTTGGGGTGTGTTAGCAAGACAACACACTAATGCAATGCATCTCCAATATACATGTGCTGTGGTGCATTAAATATAAAAATTCAGTTTTTCTCTGTCTGCGTTTCTAAATTTTATGCCTCATATCCCACCAACAATTGATTATTATGTAGAATCTGGTATGGATGAATCAAAGATGGCGCTGTTCTGAATTATTTGAGAGGAGAATTACAGCTTCTTAGAAAATAGGAAAGCAAAATGGTCTTTGGTGAATTTATGTATTCATGTGTTTACATTTTCTAAGTTTTGGTCAATAATTGCTTGTAGTTGTCTTTGGATGTTATTTTTACAATTAACAATACATAATGAAATGAATATATATGACATGATACTCTGTTTTGAAGCATGTTTGCTTGTAGACATGCCAATTTAGTTTCATTCTGAATGGATATTTCCATGCATCCAAATTTCCGAACTCTTAACGCGTCCGAATGCGAACAAATCCGAATGCTCTTTTAACGAAAATACAGATCCGTACGAATTTCATTCAAAACGAAACTAATTCAGACATCTGACTGTTCTCTGTCAAATCAGATTTTTTGGAGGCTGCTGGGGGTGCATTACAGGCACAGTCATGTGACTTCGTTCCAAAACGAAAATTCAGATTGATCCGAAATCAGAATTACGAACCAAATCAAATTTTGGATCCAAAATCTAAAAAACGAAAACAATAAAAATCCAAATGGGTCCAAAACAAAACGAAACTAAATAATTTTCTGTGGGGTTACATGTCTATGTACTTGCATACCTATATACACCCGATGATTAGTTGAGTTAGTCAGAAAATACATTTGATGTAATTCTGCCAGGAGAGAGAAGGAGTGCTGTGTGCCCCTGCAGTTTTTGTAATCTGCTAAACAAAGTTCTACATCACAAAAGCATCTGTTATCTGGACCTCCAGAAGGAAGGAGCTAGGGCTTTATCTTAGTGCTTGTCACCTTTAGACTGCAAGTTATAAATATTAAATGTTCATAATTTAATGTTTAACTGTCAAAAAATATTTTGTGAACCAATTCTGAAGTGATTTGCCTGGCTCTCCAAAGTGACAATGGTCATCAAGACGAGAGGGAGACAAATCTCCCTAGCGGGGACATAGAGAGCAACATTTTTCAGGTGTTGCAGCGATTTCACATTCCATCCAAAGCTTTAAAAAAAAAAAAAAAAAGGAGGTGCATGTCCATTTTTTTTGCATTCTGGTGCATTCGTGCATGGGCTGCCTTGAGCCAATGCATGTTAAACTGCAGTATAGTACATGTTAATGTAACACACCAGAACCTAAAAGTGTAAACAGGCCTTTATTAATTTTGACATTACTACCTCATGTAGTAAGGAATTCCATAGATATAAATGTATCCAAAAACAAAACAGGGTATCATGTATACCTAATAAAACAAGTTTGTTTTATTGATCTTGGATATTTTACATGGATTTGTATCAGCTAAAGCTAAAGGGAAGTTTGATTGATATGAACCTAAATGCAGTCACATTGTTTTCATTAATTATATAATGGACATTGGATTTTTACCTGCTGCTTTAAAGGCCAGTCGTAGCTCATATGAACACATCGTTCCTGACTTGTCATTGTCATGCTGGAGAAATATATTCTGAAAGACAAATTACATTTTTATCCTAAAAAGTGATAAGCGAATCAGTTAAAATGTAGTTTCTTTTCAGGGAAAGCATCAACAACAGCGTACTTTAAAAGTTCATATTTGACTGCGAAATTAAAATGTTTCTTTTACAAATAGATTAATTTCAGTAAAAAAAAAAAAAAAAACTTCTTTCCCTGGTAGTTTTAACAGCAACATGCATGTTTACATCAAGCGTTACAATGCCTGCTTTAACAGGCAAATTTATTTCCCCCAAAATATGTCTATTAAGTCAGCTGAAGGCTTTTTTCTTGTTGCTTGGCTGGAGACAAGTGTTTGTATGAAGCACCAACAGCCCTCAGATGTTTTTTGGGCAGGGAAAACAGATCTAAAGCTGGCCATACACATATAGATTATCTGCAGATTTTCTATGGTCAGATAGAAAAAGTGCAACAGATTCCTCCATCTACACTCTGTGTGGATGGAGGAATCTCCCACTGGGCCAACCTTTAGTATCTTGCTAGTCGGCCCCAATGGCTGTCAAAATACCTGAACAATCTGATTGGATGCAGGCATTGTTCAGGTATTTTGAGAGCCAGCAGGGCTGACTAGCAAGATACTGAAGCTTGGCCCAGCAGTAGATTCCTCCATCCACACATTTTATCGTAGATGGAGGAGTTTGTTGCACTTTTTTCATCTGACTCTAGAAAATCTGTAGATAATATATTGGTGTATGGCCAGCCTAACTGTTGAGACATAAGCCTCAGGGAGGTTTTTTTTCTATAACATTAGACCTACAGCCCTCAAATATGGGTGGGTAAAAAAACTGTCCAGTGGCCCCAAAGTTTGATAGCACCATTGAGCTGCCTTTGGTTTTTGCAGTGCTGCATTGCATAGTAATAAAAGTTGGCACCAAAAACACTTCATACCCACATTTTCACATCCCTTATCCCCATAGTTAATAACATTTAGGGATATTCCAGAAAATATACAAGAAATGGCAGCTAGCCTAAAGGAAGAGGCAGCCATGTTGGAGGCGTGGAGGTAGTTGGGGATGATCAGTCAGACAATTCTACAATTGCTTGACGGGAGTGGCCAATTAATAGAACCACAACATGCAGATGACTGGCTCAAGAACCCTGCGTCATTTTCCTTCTCCAGCGCACAGAGCAGGCATTATGCAGCCTGAATTCACAATCTGCCTTCTTCCTCCACTAATGTTGCAGGTCCCTTTTAAACTGGTCATGATTATTCAGGGGAATTGTTCATGCACTCCATTTCTTGCTTGTTACAGGATATGTTTCAAGCAGAGGCCGCACAGGAGGATTATAATGCTGTGCAGATTTCCTGTTCTCAACAGCAGTGGTGTAGCGAGGGAGGGGGCAGGAGGGTGCCGGGCTGAGGGGGGCGCTACTGCAGGGTTGTGGAATTCATATCACCCGATGCCCAGGACATGTAGTTCTTTTCCACATTTAGCGCTGCTTCTGGCAAGCAGGACTAAATGTAGTGCAGTGAAGCCATTTTGTACAAGGGATCTTAGGCGGCTGTACAGCCGCTCAAGATCATTTGTTAAACAGCCTGCCCCTCCTCACCCTTCCATGGTATGTCCATCCCCTCCGCAACCCCCGCAGCCACCTTGCTCAGCGGCATGATTTCTGGGGTCTTCTGCTCTTCTGGGAGACCCGGAACCATAGTAATCACTACAGGATGGAGAGCGGGGAGCAGAGAACATCTGTTCTCGAGTGGAGAACAGAGTGTGCTCTGTGTAAACAGTGAGACAGGAGAGCTGCACTCACAGCCTTCCCATCTCAGCTGTCACAGGAGAGCCAGCATTGTGCTGTGCTACTACTGTATTGGAAGTAACAGGTTTAATAAAGAGAACCTGTCACCTCCAAATGCTATCACACAGCCTGTGTGATAGCAATAAAGTTAAGTGAAAAAAGTAATCAAAATAAAATAAATAAAAATAATTAATAATGAATGAATCGGCAAAGCCCACCTCAGACCACCACAGGCCACCTAAAAAACTCCATGCCGCTCACCTGAGAACCCCATTGGGCACCTGAGACCCCCACTGCCCACCTGAGACTCCACACAGCCCCCTGAGCCCCCACAGGCCAACTGAGGCCTGTACAGCCCACCTGAGACCCCCAATGGCCACCTGAGACTCCACACAGCCCCCTCAGACACCCACAGACCAACTGAGATCCACACAGCCCACCTGAGATCCCCGCACAGCCCACCTAATTTGAGACTCCCCATTTGAGACCCCCACAGCCCACCTGGAATTCTGCACAGCCTACCTACGACCCCGCACAGCCCACTTGAGAGCCCCACAGCCCACCTGAGATTCTTCACAGCCCACCTGAGACCCCGCAGCCCACCTGAGACCCCCACAGCCTACCTGAGTCTCCGCATAGCCATCCTGAGACTCCGCACAGCAGGCCTGAGACCACACACAGCCCTCCTGAGACCCTGGAGACATCAGGCCGCCACCCTGGAGCAACACAGATTATGTAGCTTCATATTATTCTGCATGGCTGTATAATGTATTGCTGGGATTTGTAGTCCTCTATAGCTGGTGGTATTCTGCATTGCTATTTCTGGTATTTGTAGTCCTCTATAGCTGGTGGTATTCTGCATTGCTGTATAATGTATTGCTGTGTGGCGGGCCTCCATGGTGGATCAGTGTCTTTAGACCCGCTTCTGTGCTCTCCTTTTCTCCTGATCCACCACGGAGGTGAGGCTTGAAATCACTTAATTCAAGTCCCTTCTCCATGACAGATTAGAAGGGGCAGCACCAGGAAAATAGAAGTGAGCTCAGAAGTGGCTCCTAAGTTAACAAAGCAGTGGAGAATGAGGCGATTTGAAGATGGATCAGGAGGGGAAAACCTAGACAGGGGAACAATTGGTCCAGAGCATTGAACTATAGTTTGGTTTGTGGGGGTGGGCCCTAATGAAAGACTTGCCCCCAGGCGCACCATGACCTTGCTATGCCTTTGCTCAGGAGGAGGGAGCAAAGGGTACAGACAAAGGGTTGAGCAAAATGGTAGAGGGTGGGTCAGTGCCTGTCTGCTCTCCTGCAAAAGCCACACTCTTGGCATGGGACAGCAGGCATGCAGCACCAGCCATCGAAGTGCCAGAGCAGTGGATGATGATGTCTCAAATCACTTCTGGGTGCTGAGATGGGAGAAGCAGGCCAAGTCTGAGGAAGAGGCAGAAGTGGGAGCAGTGACATGCTGGAGGGAAAGGTTCGTCCAAGCACAGGGGCACTTCACAGCAGACCACAGGGCGCAACCATCAACAGGCATCAAGCAGCACAGTCACACAGGCATGGGCACAGTTGAATAATAGCTCCAAAGTATATTAGTAGAGCACAACAGTTTGGGCCTTTTTTTTAGACCCCCTGCATACAGTACACTTGATATCTGCAACATGTATCTGCAGAATCCTGCTGCAGTATCTACACCAATCTGTCATTTCTACCTCCAGCAGAGAAAAGGATAAAGGGGCAAGACTGAAGACTGTGAGGCTGGAACCTCTGTCTTCACCAACACCCACCCCATCATATTCAGCAGCAACCATCATCTTCCAGCGTTCCTTTGTTGTTATTATTATTATTATATTTTGTCACACTGTCCTGGTATGCATGCTGGATTTTCCCTTGTGGCCAGTTTCCATGTCAGATTTTCCCCTCTGTCCTAGGTGCTTGGCTGTCAGCCGATGGGGATTCACAGGGCTGGAGCCAATTATCTTTCTTCTTTCCCTATTAAAGGCTCAGCTCACCTGTTGCTTAGCATTCAAGCAACGACTCAGTATTCTAATGTAGCCCCTATATACATATGTTGCTACGTGGATAACTAATATTCCGATTGTTAATAGTTAAGTGACCTTTACATGGCCTGTGATGCAGAGACTTGTGGGAAATGCAGTGCAAAGTCTGAGACAAGCAGTGCTGTGAGAGGGTGTGCAGACTGCAATTCCCAGGAGGTTGTGTGTCCAGAGGAGAGGTGTGTTTCTGGGCTGGGGCTGCTGAGCACGCAGTCCTGGAGAGCCCAGTGAAGGACACAGATCTATGTGGCTGCCACTGACGCAGAGGGGCCATAGATCCTGTGTTAGCCTGTCTTGGGGAGTATGGGCGGACTGCAGAACATTCAGAGAGAGAGAGAATCTTCTGTCTGGTGTGCGACATCAGCATCGTTTGGACAATCTCTTCTGTGAGGTACAGTGTCATCTATACAGCGGGGATATTGCAGCCCGGACGAACGCTTGAGTCTGTGCAGTGAGAGATCCAATAAGGCCCAGCAATCCGCTGGGGAAGTAGAGGCCATTACAAAGAAAGTTCTTCAGCTTCTTCCTGTGACCGATCTTCTTTAAAGTACAGCGGATCAGTCGATGACTTCAGGACCAGAAAGGGTGTCGGCTTGAGAGAAAGGGGACACCCGTCTTTTGCTGACTTACATCACAGTTGCCCAACTGACTCTAGAGGTGGTGAGAGGCCTTTGGCCATTTGTGTTATCTTTGCAATTCTGGTGAGTGGGGAGCATTGTTTTTTTCTTCGGATTGGGATTATAGGATTACACACATACATTTTTTTTCATCAATTTTGCATTACTGTTTGAACTGATCACAAGTTATTTTTGTCCTGTGAGGATCGGATGAAGTTTTGTAATTTATATGGACTTTAGTTATTTATTTATTTTATATATTGTAACAAGGACACTCCACTGTAGACTGGAGGTGCAAGTCAGATGCAGTTTATTTGCTTTCAAAACGGTAGATAACATGAAATCCAACATAAATAGCTCGCTGTAGCATATAACAGATAAGGGCTCACCGACATCTGTCTCTCTTGCAGCACTGCTGCTCCGGCCTCAATCTTTAGGGCCACTGTCTGGTTCCTCCAGACAACGGCAATAACATGCCAATCCTCTCAATATGGTTCGCAAACCCCGCAGCTCCCTGCTGCACTGGCCTCCACTGACTCCAGGGTGGAGCTCTCCTGACTCACAGGT